TGCAATATTTTGTCAATGGAGCTTCACAATGAGGTGGGGTCAGCTGATCTGTTGGTGCTTCCTACCTGACCTACCTGGTAAGGCAGTGCTCCCTGTGAGTCAAGCAGTTCAAGGAGGGCAAAGGGACCGACTCCTCAAAACATTAACTAAAAGGCTTGGCGGAAACAAGCCGGCAGCTCATTATCTCTTCGGATTTGTCTGTTTCATTCCTCCCATTTATTTTGATGCCGTGATCAGTCTGTGATCTAATTCATTGCTCATCCCTACCTGTGAATTAATTGTTCTGCTGTGGCAACTCGTATCTCTGATTGCCTGCCCAATACTCCTCCTCGTTTGACGATGATGCTGTGGCAATACACACACATACACACACACACACACACACACATACACACTGCCTGGATGCTAAAAGGAGGAAGCCGTATGGCCTTGGCATCCAGTCTAACGTCAGGTGACTAACTTTTGATATGGCTGGCAATTCCATTAATCGGCTCCTCTGATGCAAGGAGGTGACCATGTCTTCCTTCATTCCACACCCCTTCCTTTCGGTCCCTAGTTGATTAATAGCAGGAAAATAACCCACCAATTTTCATATTAGTCTTCATTAGGTATGTTTCTAGGACAGGATGTAAGGCACATCAATCAGGAAGCCATCAAATAATTTTCCTCATGACTATCGGCCAAAATAAATTTCACAACGGTGGACAAGGTTCCCCATTGGACCCACGTTGCGCTCCCCATGGAAGTCACAAACCAGTTTGGGCTCTCCTCATTAGCTTGAAACAAACTCGTCGTTGGGAATTTGCTTCCCTCCTACCGATGGGAAAAACCATTTTAAATAAATCTGTAACTCAGAAATAACAAAATAAAAGAAATAAAAGTGTTTTTTCCTTCTCCCTCCCAGTCAGTTTTCCTGGTGTGCCATGCTAGGCTTAAGCTCATCTCGTTTGGTAGATTGTGTAAATATTGATTTCTGGAAGCTTCTTTGGTCGAGGAGTGGGATGAAAATGTGTGAAATGGGAAAATAGAAACTTGGTTGGGTCACAAGTTAAGAAGATAGGAAGCGGAGGGTGGTAAGAATGGGAATTCGGAAGAGGCAGAAAGAATCCCCTTTTTTCCAAGCATTGTCCCCCAAAGTCAAAGTGATCGAGTATTGGCAATAATTGGAGATCAAAGAATTGGGGCTCCCTCCCTGTTGAAAAAGTTGCTGGCCTGAGCTTATGCAGAATACAGAAGTTGTGGGTGTTCCAACACTGGAGGTTTTTAAGAAGAGATCGGACGACCATGTGTCTGAAATAATATAAGGCTGTCTGCTTGAGCAGGGGGCTGGACTAGAAAACCTCCAAGGTCCCTTCCGACTCTGGTATTCTGTTATTTTATAAACCCAAATCAACTCATCAGTGGAATGGCTGGCCTCCAGATGTTTTAGGGGGTCCATCACTGGAGGTTTTTGAGGAGAGATTGAACAACCCTCTGGAATAGTATAACGTCTCCTACCTGAGCTGGGGGCTGGGCTGAAAGACCTCTGAGGCCCCTTCCAACACGGAGCACCTGTGAGGTGTGACCCCCACTTTTGCAACAGTGATGTGGGTCTTTTGAGAAAGGCTGCCAACAGGTGGAATTGGGGCAGAAGTCGGATGTCCGAGAGGCAAGAGAAGAGATGACTTCCTACCTTTAGTCAGCAACTCGGGAAGGTCCTCAGCATCCTTTCTTTGATGTTGGAACATTTCGCCCTCTCTCTCTCTCTTCTGCTCCGCCTGGACTCGCACACCTGACATTCTCCAGGTTTGCTTGTGGGTGGTTTATATAACCCTGGAGAGCCACAGCGAGTCTTCCCCCAGAAGGCGTGGTCACCGGAAGGAACTCAAGGAAAGAAAGAGCTGATTCTTGAAACCCCAAAGGGCCAAACAACCCTCCCTCCTTCCCTCCCGCCATCTCCCACCCGAGACGCTCTGCCAGCTGATTCCACACCCTGTGGGGCTGTTCAGAGCCCGAGGCCCCCTGGCATCTGCTTCGACTTCTTCTCCCAGCCTTTTAATTACTCCTGGTTCTTATCTGATTCTTATCTGAAGCCCCATCACCTCTTCGGGTTTTCTGGCTCCCCCAGCTTCTTTGTGAAAATCCAGATTCAAAGGGTGAATGCAATTTGGGGGCGCATTGAGAATGGCAACATGTTAAACCAGTACAAAAGATACCCCTGCTGAAACAAGCTGGGTTCTGCGTGCGAGTTCTGAGATTCCATCATGTCTGCAGATGGATTTGGTCCGTGCAACCCTCGGCTGGAAACAGAAAATTGATTTACGGCTTTAATTTCTCCCACTCCGTCTTCCCTTTTACCCAGCAACCCAACAGCAGAAACCACAATTCCAGTGAAACATCTGCCCAGGCAGATGTGAATGTGTGCTTAATATTTTTCATCTGAGGTTCAGGCGACGCACACTGAGATTTGAAAGGTTCAGTCGAATGGAGAGATTCGGAGAGTTTCCCGAAAGGAATGGAGGCCTTGCCTGCACGTTATCTGCCCCTCGGAGTAAAGCAAAGTTTTTTGAGTTGCGTTGCGTTCTCGAGAAACTACAATTGGAGTCGTCAGCAACTTTCTTCTCCGAGCTCCAGGAAAGCTCAGAATTTGGATCCAGCAAACACAGTGGGCCAAATCTCACCCCAGATATTAACTCACCTCCCATCTTATCACTTATCACGTTACTTTTTGTGTGGATGAGACGAGGGGAGAGGAAACCGAACCGCGAAACTTGCTGTTCTAGAAAGTCAAGTCAGAAAAAGCACCGGGAGGGCATGAAACTGAGAAAATTGGAGTTCTGCCTGGTGGCTCGGCTTCTTTTCAGGAGCTCAGCGTTTTCGCTCGGTATCTTTGTTCCTTCACAATTTTGGATTATTAGCTCCATTCTGGCTAGGAAATTAACCAAGGGGAGAAGCAACCTAGAACTAAGGAGAACTTTCTTGACAGTGAGAGCCATCAATCAGTGGAACAGCTTCCCTCCAGAGGTTGTGGGTGAGATTGGACAACCGTTCGTCTGGAATGGTGTATAGGCTCTTCTGCTCGAGCAGGGGGTTGGACTAGAAGACCTCCAAGGTCCCTTTCAACGCTACCATTAGTCTATTCTAAACTTTGACATGCTTTCAGATCCTTGCTGCCTAAGCTTTCTAGCTTGAGATAGGCAATTGGTCCTCCAGTCCGCATCTCATTTGTTGATTCATCTAATCCCTCTGAAAAGCCCGACTCATGTCAATCTGGAGTCGTGTCAGTCACACATGAGTGACGCCTGCTAAGCTCTTCCTTGTGCTGAGGGCCAGTCAGTTGGTGTCCTTCGATGACTCTGCTGTTGGGATTTCAGAAGTGATTAATTGCGTCTTACCTCCCTCCCACCCACCTTCCTTCTTTCAATCTCTTTCGTTCAGCTCTACCTTCTTAGCCAGAAGTTACACAACTTTTAAAACTTTCTTGCCTCCTCCTGCTCTCCATAAGATTTTATCCATCTCCCTTCCCTTCTATTTTTTTTTTTTTTGGGGTGGGGGGGTTGATAGAAAACGATCTGTAGCCACCCACATTCACAAGACCTTCAGGTAGCATCCAGTGGTGAAATTCAATTTTTTTTAACTACTGGTTCTGTGCGCGTGGCTTGGTGGGCGTGGTGTGGCTTGATGGGTGTGGCAGGGGAAGGATACTGCAAAATCACCATTCCCACCCCACTCTGGGGCCAGCCCGAGGTGGCATTTGCTGGTTCTCCGAAGTATTCAAAATTTCCGCTACCGGTTCTCCAGAACCTGCTGGATTTCACCATTGTCCCGAATGAGGGCAAACGGCATGTCTGTCTGATCCCTTTGCATTCTCAAACCGGACAAGGGGGTCAGTCTAGGTGATCTCCAAAGCCCTTTCCTCAACCTTCACATCCTATGGACTTGGACCATTCAAAGTTTGATTCGGGTTCTGTGAAGGCAGCCCAACTGGGCGACAGTTGTTGGGTGCGATACTTTTTAACATAAAAG